GTGAAATGGAAAAATAAGATAAAGCTGAAAAACCATTAGAAAATTGTTAAAACCTTTAGAAATATGAGTATAAGAATATAATAAATGCTAATTTCATTTGAAAATATTTCGTGATATCCTCTTTATCCAAATACTGCAATATTAAGTCAAGCGTTATTAAACGCATAAATATGTAAAACTAAAAAACTATGAAGTATATAAAACTTTTATATAGTACATATGTACAATAAACCTTATAATTGCATCGTAGAAAATTTTATAACATTTTTTTCTCAAATCTGCGTAAATATCCGTTAGGTAGGATCAAATACGTCGATTCGATAATAAATGTGCGAATAACTTTCGTACGAGATGTAACGAGTATCAACTGCGTTTTGCAGTATTTTATAACGTTGTTCTTTTTCAAACGTTTGCGTAAACAAATTTTCTTCAACTATCTTCGTATATACGAACTTTGAATTGACAAATACGAGTATGAATTTGCACAAACGTTTAGTCCAGTACTTTGCTAACAAACACGCGTGAAACATATAAAATAGCGCGTGTTATTTCTGTCCGCTCCATAACGGGTCGCATAAGATTCGTAGCAGCAAACATTTTGACATTTCTCAACTTTTCACCGATACTTTTTTAAACGCCCATTCTGCTAGACCATCTAATCTAGCGGAAAAAAGGTAAACGACGGAAAGAAGCAAGGGTGAAACGCAATGTACGGACTCTAGCAATTGCAATTCTCGCGTTGTTGCAAAACCATATCGTCGAACGCGTATACGCGACTCGAACGCTTGAAAGTGTTCCAGGTCGATAGAAATTTGATTCTCTTCGAACAGAATTTCCAGTCTATTACTGTTCGTTCGCTACTCTATAAAATTTTCACTACGACAAATTCCATCGATTTCGAATAAACAAATGCTCTTCGGACCGCTCTGTTCTCATCTCTTTTTCTCCTGTTTACCATCCTTCTCTCTCCTTCTCTGACGATCGGTAGAAAAGCGTTTTTATGGAAGCGCTGTTTGGGCACGAATGAAACTCTCACGACGGGTGTAGCGCTAACATAACGTATATTTATCGCATCAGAGTGTTCCTTCGAAATATTCACTATTCCATTTCCCGAGCCGGATACTGCTGGCCAGTTTTGCGTCCACTTTATAGCAGCTGAATAAAAAGTAAACTATGATGCATCCGTAAAGCCAGAACAGGATACTCCTGTCTCTCTCCCTCGCTCTCTCAGTCTGCTAGGCTCACCGTCACATCCAATCGGTAGTTAATACTTCAAATAATAGTGTCTGCATGGATCCAGCGAACTCGCGTGTTTCAGCTAGTGTTATTTGTCTAACGAGCACATTCCGACGATTCCCTGTTTTCTTTCTCTTCTTCTTTTTTTTACCATATCTGCGCTTGGAACTTTGTTGAATCCCTTCCAATTTTCTTTGAACTCGTGTACTCTTCCAATGCGAGTTGTTTGTAAGCTTATCGTAATCATTAAAATCAGAAACAACGAGTTTCCGATTCGATCCTTTTTCTCATTTCTCGCGTGTTTTCGTGATCTTTTTTATTTCGCCATTCGATCGCGCTATTGTACGTTTTCTTTGCTATTTTCCCCTTTCTATTTCTTATTGCGTTCCTCCTCTTTGGACGTTACATTGTACGGACAACGTATTGATACACGATTTTTCAAGTGACTAACAATAAGCTGCCATACTCCGATCGTATAAGCGATACGTTCATCAGATACACTGCAAGTTGCTCGAACTTTTAGCGAACGGCCGATGTCGTGGTGCAGCTTTAAAGCTGGTCGTTTAGAGAACCGATGTGGCTGTCCGTTTAACGAAGCACTTGTTTCTCCGTTACTTTTCCTTCTTTTCCAAAATCGACTCAAGTATACGTTGACTATTTTACTATTTACACATACGAAAAATAAATGATCACCTTACGAAGCAACGTTTCGAAGCAGACAAAATTCTCCCGACGTATTTCAACGAAGGAGAACAAAATTTGTTAGCGTTCGGCGTGTACGATGAATCGAAAACCACGAAATTTCTTTCACGTGGATTGTCAGAGCCGGTGGTAAAGTTGAGGTTACCGAGAGTTGGCGAGCGATGCCCGATTTCAGGCAATCGAAGAGTACGCTGAAATCTTTTCAGCATATCGAATGGAACTCGTGGCGAAAGGTGAACGTAAGTGTGTTTACGTGTTGAAACATTCCGACGGCATGCAGAAACTTCTTGAAAGCTTCTTGCCACCGTCCAATTCGGGATTAAACTTATGTCGTACATATCCACTGGCCGCGTCCTGTCGTATCCGGAACTTAACGCGAGTTCGCACTCCAGACTTCCGGGCTTTGTGGCTCTTTCGGAAGGCGATTCGTAGCCAGCTTGATCCAAGTTTCTCTACAAGAGGGCGCCGTTTACGTTTCGATTCGTTCGCACCACAAACCTTTCGATACTGTTACTACAATAACAACCCGATCCGTCGATCGATTAATAAACTTACTTCTTGTTTACTTATTTCGCTTTACTCAATATCAAAATATATACAAAAGTTCGCGACAGTATTTCGATCGTTTACAGAAACTTCTTCCGAGTATGTTGAGTGTGCCATGAAAAAGATCTTGTACTTCGCACGTAATAAGATTGACATGATTAGCATACAGTTCAACCTTTTGGGCGCTGCGTTGTCCGACGTTAAGCGCTCGCCGTGGATTGCCACTCTTTACGAAGAAACACACCGTGGACTGCGTATTTTTTACGAAAGGCATCGTAGTCTGCTACACACTTTGGTGTTTGCTTTGGTTTGCCAGTTTGATAATTAATTTTTGTTTGTTTTAACGAAACCATCAGAATGTGAGGTGGATGGCATCCATACGTCTTTTCTATCACGCCATTTAACGCCACTTTCAGCCTAAATTGAATGGTTGTGTGAGAACGCGTATATGCGTTCATAGCGCTCAAAGGGTTAAAACAAATTCGATAATGTATTATACAGAAATGATTCTATCAACGCCATGTTCTTTTATAGCCGTAAGTAGAATCTACATTTTTAAATTTTTAAATTTTCGAATTTTTAAATTTTTAAATTTTCGAATTTTTAAATTTTTAAATTTTCGAATTTTTAAATTTTTAAATTTTCGAATTTTTAAATTTTTAAATTTTCGAATTTTTAAATTTTTAAATTTTCGAATTTTTAAATTTTTAAATTTTCGAATTTTTAAATTTTTAAATTTTCGAATTTTTAAATTTTTAAATTTTCGAATTTTTAAATTTTTAAATTTTCGAATTTTTAAATTTTTAAATTTTCAAATTTTTAAATTTTTAAATTTTCGAATTTTTAAATTTTTAAATTTTTAAATTTTTAAATTTTTAAATTTTTAAATTTTTAAATTTTTAAATTTTTAAATTTTAGAATCACCCCCTTTCTGCTTGTACCACCAGTTACCAACCACCCTGTATGTGTATTCGTTAAGAATTCATTAAATCGCTTAAAATTATTTACTTGTGTTGCAAATTACCTAGCTGCTAGATACAAACAGAGTTACAAAAGTTCAGCCATTGTAACAATTTATGATTATCGACCACAATAATAATACTTTCTTCTCACATAACGTTGATTATTCTCCTAAAGGTATAAAATGACTCGTTTCTCACAGATGTTTATTTTTTCAGCCACTTACGCGGAAAGCTCTCCGACTGCATCGTCTCTGCTTCCTCCGCGGCGGTGCGCAAATTTCAAATAAAATCAAGTCTCCGACTTTCTCGGGGAGAGTCGCCTCAAGCCGGCAGTTCCTACTACGATTTGCATATTCCTTGCGTACGAATTCGCAGCGAATCACGCAAACGCCGGCGACGGAACGTTACGACGACACCCTCGATTTGCAACCCCGAAGAAACTTTACGAAGAATCGAGAAAGAAGCCTTGTTAAGTTCTAGAGATATCAGCAGCAATAATAATCTGAATTTGTTGTATGTATTTATTATATATTTATTTATTCATAGAAACAGATACAGAAGAACACCGATGAAAGTACACGCAATATTCTAAACTAATTATCGTACGTGTAATATTCTTGTATAGTATGTTATACGTCTGTCTAAGTGTATAACGAGGAAGATTGTAAGCTTCAGGCAGAATCAGTAATAACTATTACACGCTTCACTTAATTATCTAATTAATTAAATATAAGACAGGGTGGAAGAAGAAACATAAAAGAACACAGCGTAGTCGGAGGAATTAAAATAGTTAGGACGATGGAAGAAAATGACTAAAAACCGTGTTCTTCGAAAGAAAAAAACTTGATATATTACTAACGGTAGGTATATGAATATCTAAACGGAATTGGAAAAAGATCCTACATCCTTATTAATACTGCGAATCAATCTTCCCATATGAACTAAAGTATTAAGCATCTAATGAATGGAAACATCGTCGATAATTAAAGTTGCAAAGATAGGAGTTTAGAAGAAGAATTAGAAAAATTAACAGAAATTATCCGATAGCTTTTTCCAAGACAAGTTTCATAAAATTCCGCTTTTCCAAGTCTAAACTTTCGTTACGTACAATTGTGAAACATAACCTTGATGAAACTTAAACGTACTTGAAGATTAACCGAAACTTGTTATAAAGTCATAATTTTCGTTCTTGGGAAAGACAATCGATGAGGATCGAGAGGGTAAAGACTGCAGTAACGAACGGAGTTAGATCGGTTGAGCCAATCCAACGCAAACGAACAAACTCAAATCATCGACGGTCGACTAGCATAGTAATACGAATGCCCTTCGTCAGAATTCGTGCAATTCCAAGCTTGCCGATGAATTCGTCGCCAGCCGTGCGATTTCTCTTTGTGAAAGGGCAACGAGAACGACCGAATAAGCCGGAATTTTAAGCTATAAAACTTTCGCAATTACCGAGTGTTCGGTATCCTGAAAAAGTTAGGCAAGTACCTGCCACACTAAACAAGATCGCTATCACCAACCTCGTTTTCTCTCCTTTTTACCGCTTTTTCTGTTAATGTTATTTCTCGTCAGTGCTTATTTGTTAAAAATCCATTAAATCCATCGAATCGTTCAAAATGATCTATCTCGTAAATTATCTAGCCAGAAGATAAAAAAAAAGTAAGCAAAAGTTGGAAAAATTGTTTCGAAAGGTTCGTTCATACACCGCATTGTATCTAACATTCGAAGACCACAGAGGAAATACAATACATGACACGTCACATTCTTTCCAAAAATCAGGAAAGTGACTACCGTGATGAACAATGTCGCTACTACCACTGCTATTTTTCTCTTTTCCGCGTCTTTCTCTAGCTTTGCTGGTCTTTTTGCTAAGCCCGTCTGTCTCTCTTTCACCGTTTCTTTATTTCTTTTGTTTCTTGCATGATTCTCCCGACCATCCGGATTCACGAACCAGCGAATCGAAGAGAGAAAAGTGTTGGAATGTGCAATAAAGCGGTGTGGAATTGCCGACGCGTACAATAGCAATCGAAGACACAAAGGTTTTTCTATAAATCCTCGCAGTGACACGACGCGCGGCCGTCCCCGATTCGATTATCTTGTCCCGGGTTCTTCTGATTTTTACGTTTGTTCTTTTATTGCAAATTCGAGCGCCATCCGTCCGCTCGACGAAACCGTTGTTACGTTTCGACCTATGCTCCCTTCAAAACGATTTCATTCTACATTGCCAACAATTTACTTTCTAGATAATTTGTTTCTAAACTTCCTTTTCCATAGCAAATAAACTCGAGTGAAAATTCAACATTATAATTACATAATACGCTCAACGATCTTCCCCTATATTTCTAATAATTTGAAAAATAATTACAAACATATTCGCGAATTGGATATGTTATTGGACGTTATGAAAATATAAAATGTAAAAGATTTTCGACTGACATTTTTAAAACAATAGCCTCATTGAGATAATGAAGCTTGAACGTGACTTTGAATAGCGAATTCAGACAGCAAAAATAAAAATATCAGAAAGTAAAAACAATGAACAAAAATAGAGAGGAAAAATATCGATGCTTCGAGATTATGCATTAACGAAATTAAAAAATTTACATTGAGTATTATTTGCGCAGGTGCATGTGGCAAAAATAACGCGGGGCGAATCTATTTCCATGGAAATATCGTGGCAGCTGTTAAACGAACTGATTTCCAGCGAAATTAATGCATTCAATTGTAAACAGCTATGAAATTGCAAATCTTTTTTAATTATGTTGAAAGCCACTCGGCGAAGCTACAATCTAGCCAGGAAATAACAGGCGGAAAGTCAGATTTGTAGATGGAGGGTAAAAAAGGCTCCCCTTTGCAAAAGCGCAAGCTTTTCGATCAGATAGTAGATCACGTTTCAAAAATTCGTTTGAAAAATACTGCTGATAAATGAATATGTATTACGTCATTCTGAAAATTTCCACAATTTTTGTTGTATCTGGGTTTTAACGGCGTATAAATATTTCAAATACTAATGAAATATAGTCGGATATATATACATACGCACTATTATATTCGTAGTAATTCGTACTTTCTTTCTTTAGAGTATAATATATCTTATATTGCATAACAAATCTTGGAGAAAATAGAAAACTTTACAAGAATCGTGTCAGTTGGGCAGATTTTTAAATTTTCCATTTGCTTAACAATTTTCTTACGCAACAAGATTTAAGAAACTGGAAAATATGTTTCTACATTGCGTCTCTCTCCCATAGAAATTTAGATTTGGTCATGAAAATAACGTATCGAACATTATGGAAATTAGTTTGAAAGGTAAGTTCGATTTCGAAAGAACTACGTTCCTTCGAAATGAATAGCTTAAAACTTAATCACGGAAATTTTCAAGATGATTTAATAGTTTCAAAAATAGAAGAATATTTTATTATCGATTAATATAATATGTTATTGAAACAGGAGTAGTACCTCTTTAGTTAGTACTTCTGAACTACCTATTAATCCATTCGAGCTTCATTTAAGATTAATTACCGAGAATTGATTTTCGGGACAAATGATTTTTAGTATTTCACTGAAACGCTGAAAAATTGAACGTTAGTCAGAAAGCCTTTCTATTCAGAACCGTCGGTTGTACTATAAGGATATCATTGAAATTCATACGAGATTCATGGTACTTATCCGCAGGGACAACGTGGCCTTAAGGATACAATACTACCTTAGACAACGTCGTTCGTAGGTAATACTTTTTTATATCTCGCCATACGCTATTTCACGGTGAAGTTGAGAAGATTATTATATAAATTTTAATCAGAACCGTAGTTAACACTTAATCGAATCCCAAGAAAATAAATGGCATTTCTAACGAAATGAACTTGCTTTCTCAGCTCAAACAAAAAAGACTAATAAAAATAGATTAATTGGAGCCGAGTGCAGGTTGTATTTCTTATCCTGGATTACAAGAATCCGTTGAAACTTTCAATTTTTCATGGTATTTTTGAGGGTTAGAAAACTTCAACCGCCAATGAATATTCCTTAAAACGTTAATACGTTTATCGCAACTAGACGCTCCGTTGCAGGATTTTGAAATTTTTCTGGCTAGCACCGATCCTCTACGTTAAATTACTATTTTCGATTACGGACCAGCTAGCATAATAAAAGGAAGAGAGAGAGTCGCGCGATTCAGGAAACAATATACCACATCAGAGAAGGCTATCATATTCCGATATTGTTTCGCCAGTGAGGTGAATTCTCGTTTTACCACGTTCGCCGATAATACGCGGATAATGCGCCAGAGACAATGTATTTGAATTTAATACGACGTATTGTGCGTATGTTTGCCGTCGACGTTTGTCTCATTGATTCGTCAGCGTCCCAGAAACTATGGCTGGGAAACGCGTCTCCCGATCGGCCGACAATTAGTCCGAACGCGAAATTGTTCCACGTGGACCACAGTTACGAAATCGCAGGTAATTTCGCGACCGCTCGAATATCCCGCCGGCTTATTACGCTCGACCATTGTTCCGTAATTGTTTTCGCGATCGTTCCACCTCTAATCGGACTCAACTATCTCGCGGTATGTACTGTTATCGCAGTGAACTTACGACCTGTTCTTTTTGTACCGTGCGCATATGAAAGAGCTTTGTTCGGCCTGATTTATTCTCCGCGCTTCTGTCCTCCGAGAGCACTCAGCAAGTATATGTTTGAAGTTTGTTACGCAGAGTATCTTGCTTCTATGTAGCTGTTAGTACCTTTCGTTGCAGATTGCTAGTCAACCGATTATATCAGCAAATAATTGGTACGAACGGAAATTTTATAGCATCAGGTACGAAAATTATAATGCGATCGTAATGATCATTTACGCGTCATACGGTAAGCAAGAATTAAATTTTCATTTGCGTGTTTCTAATAATTTGCACGTTGTACGATAAGGGAACGTTCGTTCTGAAAACATCACTAATTCTTAACTGGTCTGTTTAGCGTTAAAACGTTGTCTTCTTAAATGTTGCTTGCCATTTCATTCGAGTTAAGAAAACGTTGCGCTCTTAACATCGCGTTTATCCGATTGCTAGAAAGTTTAGGTGCAGCAACGGCAAGAAAAACGTCACGAGCGGAGAAAATATCGTGCCCTGCATCAACGTGGAACGACGAGAAATTCCGTAACTTAATTAAAAGATAATCAATTCGGGAAAACGTGAAACATTCTACTCTGTTTTGAATTCGCCTTAGTTTTACTTAGTTAGACGACTTTGTAAGATAGGTCAACTATGCTCTCGCATAGTTTTCGAATCGTTTTCGATGAACGCAATTATTTTCGTTACCCATGTCGGATTCCAGAAATAATTAAATTGCCAAATCAGTTTCGCACGGCGTTGAAACGCGTGGGACAACGGCTTTATCGAGGTTGAAACGGGAATGGTCTCGTGGCTGGAACGCAACGAAATTCCATCATGTTGTTCAGTGTGTTCCTCGTGTTTTCGTTTTGGTCTTCCACAAAGCGAACGCGCCATGCGCCTTGACGCGAGGAGAATAAAGAGACCGACGAAACATCGGTAGAAAATGAAACGATCTCGCTTTATCACGAGAGAGGTGCCGAATATTAATTAGAAATTTCAGTTGGTTGCATTATATTACATTATTGCGTTAACAATAAATCGCAGTCGATCGAACAATTATAAATAAATTATTATAAATAAATATTAAAGTACAAATTGTACAAAAGTGATTACGTATGGACGGTATACAATGAAAAAATAATAATTTTATTTTCTACTGCGCAATTATACAGATATCTATCTGAAAGTAATTGGTTTCTAACAAACAAAAAAAACTGTTTGTTCAAAACAAACACGCTTAACTTATTAACAAAGTAGACGATCTGAAACATCTTTGCGACGTTTACTATTAAGAAAGATTACTATTATTAAATTGCGTCGGTCTCAAAGCCAGGATGTGATATATCGTATTTCGTTTTACTATCAAATCAACGTAACTTGTACTTTAACCAGCCAGTTCAAAACTCGGCTTGTTTAATAAATGAAAGAAACGCGGCAATGCTTATTACGCGTTTCTTTCTTCTTTCTCACAGACGCTCTCTTTATACAATTTTAAATAGGACGTCAGTGAGTGTTGCCGCACGAACGATTTCAATACGAAGCAGGACACCAAAGTGGAACGCTGGCATCGGGGCAAAAGTGGTATTTCTCGCGTCGACGTCTCATCGACGGTGCCATTGAAAAGGAGAGACGAGCCTCGAGGAAACTCTTGATTCGCGCGCGTGCAAACGCCGCTTTATGAGGCTCGTCCGTTTGTGTCCGCGCGCGATTCACCAACGGAATGCAAAACGATAATGGTGAATTCTATGAGCAAGCCATGCAATGTGTAGTTTAAGAGTAGTCGACAGTTTTAGTGACAATTTTGCCGCTGTTGAATATTTTTCTATAACATTGCCTTTTATCTTCGAGTCGAGTTTCTTTCTTCTTCTTGTCGACATTTCTTCCGACAAATAACTAACTTCTCCTTAAAATTAGTATTAAGATAGAAATTTATTCGAACATCGAAAGAGCCAGACAAAAAATGAATGAAAAATTTCGATCGATGGCAACGGTGTTGCAGCTTCGTAAAATCCGGCTTTTCACGTTGTACACATAAGAGAGGCACTCGCTAGAAATCACCGGATCGTTTCGTAGCGATACGACAAAGTCGTGAGCTTTCTTCGTAAAAATTCGCGGAAACAGGATTTTGCACTGCAGCTGGAAGAAAACGCGGTAGAAAATAAAGGTGGCTGCAACTGCGTTCGTATGAAATTGAGTTTTGCATACGAGAACTGAAGGAGTCGGGTTCCATGTATACACGTGGATCCAAACGCGTTTACAAATTTCAGTTACAACACGTTTCTACTTACGCCTTGTTACCTCCGCAGAAAACGCGTACATTTGCATCGATGTAATTCTACAACTTCCATTTCACTTCGTTGCGATCTTTGCTTTATCACTTTGTTGCAACTGATACTTCGTCGAACCGTATATTTTGTTGACACGTGTTATCAAATTTAGTAATTTAAATTAGGATAATAAATTGTAACGAGAGAAATATTATCGTACTTGTAATTAACGTTATTTAGTCGAATCGTATCTTGCTTTTCATTTTTTCTCTTTTATCTCAACCTTTTCTTTCTTCCTTCCCTTTCCCTGTTGTTCTTTCCTCTTATTTCGTTCGATGTTTCTTTCTTTCCGTCATTCTCTCCTCTTTATCGCTTCATTTTCCTGTTTCTCGTTTCTTCGTAACATTACTTTTCATAGAAATATTATTTTTGACACTCGACGCCATTTAACGATAACTACGATTCAAACAAACGTAATCTATTGTCATGATCTGTTCGCTGCAAAACTTGTAATTGATCTGTATACGATTGTTCGAAAATAGGAGGAACAATTAATCGAATCGGATTAAATAGAATAACGCGTAGACCGATGTCGATTCAGCAAGAAGCCACCAACGATGAACAGTGATAACTGATATCAACGCGTCCCTACATCGCACTTAAGCCGCCATCGCGCCTTCTTCCTTTATCAGATGACCCAGTTTGCTAACTTTCTTCCTGGCACCACCAGACGTACCTCCGTAATAGATTTACCCGGACTGAACTGTGGAGATAGTAGCATGCCCATCTACGATAAGAACTTTCCTGTTTTCTATTTAGACTGTCGATGTTATATATAACTGGCAATTTATACATGTACGTATAGGATAAAGCCGTACGATTATAAGCATAATATTTTTCAAATAATAGTTTATAATCAACGATGAGCGCTATTCTATGCTACAAGTATTTTAATTCTATCATAACGTAACAATACCAGTGCATATCATAATATATGATGAATTCGTGATTTCTTATTGTTCTATATTGCAAATATTTAGTTCAATTACAACGTAAAACTTTAAATATTTAAATACAAAACATTTAATCTTCGTAATTACAGAAAGAAAACCATAGGAATTACACGTTAACTAATAACCGTTCGAAAAAAGGCACAGTTCAACTTAGAGCTGCGTGACTTCAAGTAGAATAAGCGTCGTGTAGTCAGACTACCGCATTATGAAAAATTTGACTCCCATATTCTTCCTATTAAATAACGTTATTAAATATATTTCTTATACTTTGAAGTACTTTACATTTTTTGTTTGACTAATAATCAGTGATTATTCATCACGGGGACTAAATTATTATCGAATAGAATTAATGGATACGTTTTCAAAACTTTCACGGACCATTTTCAAAGTTGGTCGCGCTAACAAAATTGTGAGTTATTGTTGCTTTTAATTAATTACTACTGATTACTAATAAAAAAAAGTTTATAAGACTTTGTATTGAGTTTTTATACAAAACTCTATACACAGGATTTGAAGAAGCTTATATGGTATTCATGACGATCGTGACTCACAACAAAGCAATCGTATCGTATTCATGAAACCCAATTTATATAGTGGTACATTTGTGAAAGTCGAAGCGGATAATATCGAATAGTTCACGTATGCTTATTGTTATTGCTAGTATTAGTACATTGCTGTACTTACATAAATATATGTATGTATATTTGTTTAGTTTACCGAATGAGTTTACGTGGCCAACATAAACGACAGCGGATTACGAAAATAAATTAACGCTATGGAATATAAAATGTTTCACAAATATTTGATAAAAAGATCCGCGTAAGTCGACACGCATAATCACATACATATTCGGATAATGTACGGATTTTTGTTAACCTCGAATATGACAAAACTATCGTAAGGATCGGACCACGAAGGGTCGAATGATTCAATAATCTAACGAATTTATGGTAAGTAGTAGTCGAATGCTAGTCTCCTGAGTTCATCTAAATTTGGAACTACTCGAGTGTAGGATTTTGAAAACCTCAAGAGTATCGTTGGATTCTATGGGATCAGCGGTTCAGGATTACTGTAAAATTCTACAGCTTCGACTCCTCCATATGATAACATTACCCTGGAGAAATAGAAATTTGAAGTTTCATCTAATAATTGAAACTTTGCTCAATGGAAAATTACAGACATATAATTACAGGCCGAATTTGCAAGTTGCTAACGGTAATGTAACTTTATGGTAAACCAATCAGCCTGTCTGAAGTAAATTATATTCGTTACTCGTAAAACGAAAATTTTTGAAGTTTAATTTAAAATTAAAACGCTCTACCGTGCAGACTGTACTCGCATGCACAGATTATTAAATTATTCAACGATAGAAACGAACGGCGCTACTCGACTGTGCAACTGTGCGTTCTGCGCAGTAGCATTTATCGGCGGAATAGCTGCAAGTGATAGAGAGACAAACATAACAAGAGAGCACACGAAACGTGAGAAAGTATTCGACTGTTTTGTATGTCTATTAATTTCGACCTGTCCTTTACACGCGTGCTTAATTTCAAGAGCGACGCATCGAATACGTTGCCTGGCGTTCGGATAATTCTGTTCTATTAGTCCTCTTTATTCGTCCGATCCAATCGTCGAAACTCGGTTCGAACGAAACACGGCTTTAATAAGTTTTAATCGACTCGCGAGAATGCAACTTATACGAATCTTCGCATCTGTTTCTCGTAGCACGTTTAGGGATCGATACAATGGACGATTTTTACGAGTCAAATAGAGATCGTCGAAAAAGGATAGAATTTTCAAGTTTGTTCGAAAGAACGAGTCGTTAGTTTAGCCATTACATGAAAATGACATAAATTATGGTAAATTCTAAAGTAAGTGTAAAGAAAAACAGTGTTTATGAATAACATAACCATTTCCCTGAACTATTCGATGTATGCAATTAATTGCGAAAGGTTCTGAAAGGTTTAATTATTGAAGAAATAAAACAAGAAATTTTGATGAAATATTTTTTTCCCAACGGTTGCAGTTTAATTCGAACTTTAGGAAGTCGTTTAAACTCATTTTCTTCTTTCGCGAGAGCAACATTTAGTGGAAGCGAAGATCATAAACGCGACAATCGAAAGTCTTGAAACGTTTTAGAATTACAACAAATAATGATTTTATCCAATCGATAGGATCTTGATATATATATACGTAAACGTATGTAGACAAATTGATATATTGTTTCATACGTTATTGCTCGTATTCGCTCGTAATAGTTTGCGGATATAAAACCTTCTAATACAGAATGAAAATGTATCAAGGTATACAGTTTCGATCCAAAGCTCAGAGAATGGGAATGTAATATTGGATAAAGCAGAGTAAAAAATACGCTTACAAAAATATTGGATCATTGAATGATTGAAAGAAAATATTGCACCTATCAAAGATTTGAAACCTGGTTTTAAAACTTTTGAAGGTTTAGAGTTTCAAATACTATTTTTCAAATGTACATATGCGCTGTTCAAATGGATCTAAAATCTGCAAAAGGATTTCGTTAAAAAACGTAATCTCTTCTGAATCTTTTAAAATCTAAAAATAATACATCGACCTCGAAAATGTTGGAATTATAAATATATATCGCATTCGTACTGAAAAATAGAGTTTTAAATGATGAAATAAAACAGATTATCTATTTTTAAGAAAGTCTTCTATGTACGTATTATTTTAAAATGGACTTTTTAACGAATTCAATCTTATCAGATGCTTCGAAATCTTTTTCAGGCTATTAACTTCGTCCCCGCCCCTTTTCGCTTATTTCATAAGTTGGTAAGTTTGAACGTAAATTGGCGAATCCAAAGATGCGACCATGCTTGCCTCGTTTTTTGTAGATGCTGTCGGACTAACGGATCGGTCGGACCGCTATGCCATCGACCACGAAATACCTGCCTTCGGACATTCGCCTAGAAATCGGCGATTCACCGCGCACGGCCCATAAAACTCACTACAATGCGTTCCATAAAAATATCCGATCCGCGAACGCGAAAATATAGACGGCTGTCGACAGGTCCGTGTTCGCAGAATAGCGCTGCGCTTTATTTCCAGTGATCGCGAGTGATTCGGAATTAATTCTGCGTGTACGAAACGTTAATAATTCGTTTTGATTTTGCGCGTTAACGTGTAAATTAGTGGCATTTTCAGGAACATCGGAAATCAGGTCATACGAGGTTGTTCCGCAATTAGAATTTTTGAACATTTGATATTTGACATGCCAACATAGTCCGTGATCGATTTCATATTTACGCACTGTTTTATCCGATCGTTTAAAGACTGCCGCTCATTATTATACACGTCGCTATAGTTAACGTTTGAAAAAATAAACCAATTCCGTTTTATTTTCTTCTTCTTTTCAAAATTTTGAAGGTCTATGCATACACAATGTACCCAAATTGTACGTTACCAGTAAGTTGTAGCATAGATCATCTTCTACCGTACATTTTACCGATTACAGATTTTATGAAGCTTCGATAATTCGATAGATTACGTATAATGTTTATATTATACCGTGCGTGTATTTTTTTGCACTTGGTTTTTTGTATGCTTGTACGTTTAACGATACACAAGCAGGCGAATTTCTTAGGTTGAATATCGATTTCGAAAATGCGACGGGTTGTACGCTATTCGTGAGCCCGGAAAATACATATAACGGAACGAGCCTGTAACCATCCTAAGCGTAACTTGAATAAAGAATTATCCTTGACGATGCAAACGATGAACGCGGTGGCGGAGGTAACGCGTTTTGCGAATGAACGAGTCGCGACCCATGATACAAATTCCACTCTCTCTGTACGTATATGACTTATTAATCCCTTTGCGGCCTAGCAAACAAGAGCTATCGCGATGCATTTTAATTAAACGCAATCTCCGCACCGTGAAATCGACCGTTGCATGGATGACTGATCGTGAAAGCTTGGCGAAAAATAATGCAAAAGTACCGTTGAATGGAACAGCTATTCAAGTGCCGTCATCGTAGACCCTTAGGTTACTGAAGCTACTGCTTTGGATGCCTCCTACTATGCCTGGTTTTTAACTTTTTTATTAGTAGCTGAGTATTTTATGATAAAACGAAACAGTAATACGAGTAACCATAAGTTTCTTATGAAATTTTCAAAAGCCTTTCACCTTTCGATGAAAGTTGCCTCGATAAAAAAGGTAGAAAAATGAAGTAATTAGGTTAAATAAAGAATTTTGTTGCGTTTCAAAGTTATTTCATTTTTCTAGCCATACCTCTCTCATCGTATCGAGTTAAACGAATTATCATAACGTGATTTATCCGTGATTGTCTCCGACTTTCGACAAAGTATTAAGACTGAAATCTTAAGACTTCTTGAAAAGAGCCTAATATTGTGTTTGTTGAAAATGACAACGTGAGTTCGCGCTCGCCATCCATACGCAGATGCGCTAGTTACAAGAAACAGTAACTAAAAGACAATTCTAGATACAATCGATAGATTTAAGATGTTCTTTTGTTTTTTATCCTAGTTCATGCAAGAAAGTGCAATAAAGGTTTTTCGGCTTAGAACGGTGTGATAGATTTATCACAAGAATAAAACAATGGCTATTGCGATCCTACCTCTAAATACAGAAACAACAACAGTATTATTAAAACTAAGAGAATACACTTGTATATTAACTTTTTCAATCACGGCTAGAAAAAAGAGATTCCTGTTCGAAATTGTAAAAGCCTACAAAAAATTCAGCAAGCCAGAACCGCAAGTCCACAGGAGACAAGCTTCATATTCTTCTAAAATAAATCTTCCAACCGAATGCAACATACACGTGTATATTCGTGTATTAAAAATTCATAAATCGATAACTACAAAAGCTGGCAAATGTATCCAGCTATCAACGTCGAGAATCATAGAATTTCGAAAATCACGCAACCGTAGAATGTAGGAGACGCATCCGCGAAGAAGCATCGAGATGTCTTCGTAAACACCGATGACTACGACACGAAATTGCAACAGTATTTCGCGAAGTGTCGATTAATACTCGTCGAGCAGACGCGAGACGCGTTTAATTTGCGACCAGGAGCAGCGGGACATAATTCACTCGAGATGCTCGCACGCAACGGGCCGACGCAAACGAACAAGCCCGGAAACTCGAACAGGCTGAATGACGGGTGTTGGCGGCAGGTGGCGAGACTAATAGGACCTTTCTTAAGGTCGAGTTCAACCGGATTGGAATATGAAGCGGCAGCCACTTAAATTAGGGGCTCGATCTGCTAATGGAGAAGCTACTTACGGTTATTACATCAATTCGAACGTTAGAACGTCGTGGCACAAACGTGCATCCGTTCGCGCAATTAAGACGTTAAATTTTTGCAGCTAGAAACACGGTAAATCGTAATACGAGCGAGCCACCCGTTCGCCAATAATATTTTTCGTAACGACGAACTTTCCGAACGACTACCCTCGTTTCAGATAATTATCTGTGTTTTGCGCCTCTGACTTAATGTTACCTCTTACGGACCATAAATTCGTGTCGCGTGGAAAAAGCTCGGCCAATGGAATGTCGTTTACCGTAATAAACGTATCGGAACAACGGTTCGATGGCGCTAACGATCTTAATAAGCGTACTCCGGATTATCCGTTACACGATGAAGAAACAGAGTTCGATGATAATAGGTGTTCGATGTAGCGTGAAAATTTATTTTATACTATAAGCGGAAATGTACGCGTATGGAGAGATCAAATCGGAGAACGAGAAATCGATGATTTTTTTTTTTTTTTTTACATCATAGAGAATTATATCGTTAACGTAAATTTGTTCTAAAAAATATCTGGAATAAAGTATTCTAGTGTGAAAGAAGAGATTGTGAAAGCCGGGGTATCAAATTTACCCTCGGACCGCTGAAATTTTTAACTTGCATGATATCCCAAAAGTAACGTTAGCAGCGTAATTTTACTCCAACGTCATTCTAAACCAGGTAAGATTACTGTCAGATCGACTTACCTTGGTTCATGAAAAAATCTTCGCTGGCAAACGTTTTATTGCCAGTCAAATTACGAGTTAAGCTCGTTCTACCTATCAGCGACGCCTTTCTCAACGTATGCGCGTAACTCGCTTCTGACCTTATCCGTTTCGATTTACGAACAATATGACGTCGCACGTTGATGCTTGTACTTGGTACTATTTAACCAGAAACTGCTTACAAAGCTTATGTACTGGACGGTTTCGAAGGTTGAAAGAAACTTCATGGAGTGTCTCGTAAAAACGGTCCATAAAGGTGCTACTATCGTTGCGGAGTGCGTCTGTAACTGACGTGGAGGTCCAGTCTGCTGCAAAAATATATTTTATCCACGCCAGCGCAACGTGCTTCCACAATACATTATATTGCGTTACGTGTTCTCAGACATCAAAATGACGTTTTTATTCGCATTTATCAAATCCCCTCCACGTTAGTAACACGCCGTGCGAGACGTTATTTAATCAGATTCTGAACGATAACGGCCATATGGTAATCATAAAAGTTATTCGCGAAAGAACAGTAGCAACCGAACGATTTATTTCGATGGTTTAACAGAGAACACCCTGTACGACGATTATCGGGATCGATATTTCACGAAAACGTCTGCATCGGTGATGAGTAGCGAACAGGTATAAGTTATGGATTCGACAAGAATCCTTCAGATTATCGACTCGAAGCTCATCAACGATACATATGTTAATTAGCTATAGCAAAAGCTGGCGTAGCACGTCCGACTGATCCAAACTTTGTAAACCCGCACTGCATATCAAAATGAGCGAAGGTAATAACAGGCCAAATTAAATCGATGTCGATCATAAGTTACACAGTCGAATGGGGCGCCGCATCGAATATTCTGCGAATAATTCGCCAACCTTGCGTACAAACAATACCGACGAATTTCGAGTAAGCTTCGTCTACCTCGGGTAAACTGATCGTAACACACTGCTCCACGAAGTTGATTTTAAATCGTTATATTTTCACGTCGATAGAAACTTGGAATTTTCCGCAGCAACACTCGACTTCAAAAGTAAAATGTATTAGGTTGTACGATAAACTCTTTTTTTATTTCTTTAAAATTGCTGCGAAGGTTGTTACTCTTGTATAAGATTTATTTAATCAACGACGCGTGTATTATTTTATTTCATTATCTCTTGCAAATAATCGTATCTACTCGTTAACCTATCGAATAATATATTTCCAAATATCGAAGCAACTAATATTTCAATATTAATAGTAACAATAAATATTTCGGTAATCTCGAATATCATAAACTCAAATGGAACTCTAATCATTTTTAATGGACCTTACTTTCGTACGAGATTTATTTAATCTACGATGCATGTATTGTTTTATTTCATTGCCTTTTGCAAATAATCCTATCTACTTGTTAACCTATCGAACAATATATTTTCAAATATTGAAGCAACTAATATCTCAATATTAACAGTTCAATATAAATAGATATTTCAGTAATGTCAAATATCATAAACTCAAATAGAACTCTAATAACTTTTATCGAACGATTCACGAAACAACTATACTAATAAGCAATTTTTTTACCCAACACTTATATTCATTTTCTTCCTGAATTGTTGTCGTTATACGACGTTCGTCCATATTGTATGCCATATTTTTATCCATTACAACTAACACCTGTATAGTAATCCACAAAATGTAACGCTAAAAGACAAATAAAATCCAGAAAATCTTTTCTCACGGCAAAACGATACGGTAGGATAATTCTCGAAGGAAGAAGCAGGATCTCACAAAATCAAACGTTACGCGAAGAACACAATGGCAACTCGATATCAACGGCGATTCTATGAGGGGAAACAGGTTTCTGACGACATGATAAAAAAAAGGGCAATGGCAAGCTGCAAAAAGCGCACGACACGGGAAATAGAAAAGGCGATTTGAAACTGAAAGAAAGATCCGAGTGGCTGCCGGGTGTATTAAGACGGGAAAGAGGAAGAAAAGACACGCTATGTATCGCCATCGGTTTCGTTCGCCTG